TAATGTGTATTTATTTTTGAGAGAGACAGAGTATGAGTGGGGGAGGGGCAGAGGAAGGGAGACAATCTGAAGCAGGCTTCAGGCTCTGAGCTATCAGCACAGAGCCCGAGGCAGGGCTTGAACTCACAAACTGCGAGGTCATGACCTGAGCTGAAATTGGACGTTTAACTGACTGAGCCATCCAGGCTCCCCTCAATAATGTTAACTGAAGAAATGGACATCAGGCAAATGGAGTGTTATAGAAGTCAAGGGTAGAGAACTTGTCAAGTGGGGAGAGAGCAGAGGGTCAGCACTGTGTTCTAATACTGCTAAGAGATCAAGTGAGATAAAGGAGAGGAGTACTTATTGCATGTATCAATAAGGAAGTCAGAACATTGATGAGCTCTGTTTTAAAGAGGGTGGGGACTAAAATCAGACTGCAGCAGGGTAAGAAAGTATACATAACAACTCTAGAAAATTCCTCTTATAAGTTTGGCTCTGATAGAACATCTCTGGATAATACCAGGTGGCAAGAAGTAGGTAGACTTTTTAGTGTATACAGTTTTGTACCTTTTGAGTTTTGTGCCATTACTAACTGATAACTATTCAATTAAGTCAGTATCAACCTGCATACAAAGAAGATATTTGGCTGTGAAGTAGCAGAGGGGCAGACAGGAGGGAGGGTCTTATCTTTTTTAATTGTTTAAATGCTATTGTGAAGGAGATGGAAGGGAGGGAGGAAGAGGTTGAAGATACTGAAGAAAGAAGGGATAATTGATTGAGAAGATTAAAAAAAGATGGGAACCTGGGTGGAAAAGCCAACTTTGGAAAGATTGAAGGATATTTCTTTCATTGTAACCAGAGGAAAGGATGGGTACAGAAGGAGGTAGATTTGGTGTGGAAAGTTGAGATAGTTCCCATCTGATTACTTCATCTTGTCTAAGAAGTAGGCAGGGTCATTTTCTGAAAGAGGAGGGAGGTAATGGGACCATGGATTTGATATAACCACTGTGAATGATGGGAGAGAGAATTGAGCAGGGAAATATAGGAGGATTCTGAGGAAACATGACCCAGATATTTTTTCAATAGACTTTATTTTTTAGAGTAGTTTAAAGTTCACAGTCAAATTGAGAGGAAGATACAGATATTTCCCATATTCCTCCTGCCCCCACATGTGTAGCCTCTCCCATTATCAGCATTCCTCACCAGAGTGGTACATTACCATTGACAAACCTACACTGACACATGATTATCACCCAAAGTCCATAGTTTACAACAGTGTTTACTGTTGGTGTTGTACATTCTCTGGGTTTGGACAAATGTATAATGACATGCATTCACCATTATAGCATTTTAGTATCATGCAGAATAGTTTCACTGCCTTTAAAAATTCTCTGTGCTCTACCAATTCATCTCTCTCTCCCCGATAACCTCTGGCAATCAGTTTTTACTGTCCCCATGGTTTTGCCCTTCCCATAATGTCATATAGTTGGAATCTATAATGCATAGCGTTTTCAGATTGGCTTCTTTCACTTCATAATATGTGTTCAGGTTTCCTCCATGCCTTTTCCTGGCTTGATAGCTCCTTTCTTTTTAGTGCTGAATAAACATTTCATTGTTTGGATATACCACAGTTTATCCATTCACCTATTGAAGGACATCATAATTGCTTCCAAATTTTGGCATTTATGAAAAAAGATGCTATAAACATCCATGTGTAGGTTTTTGTTCAGTTCCTTTGAGTAAATGCCAAGGAGCATGATTGATGGATTGTATGTTAAGAGTATGTTCAGTTTTTTTTTGTTTGTTTTTTTTTTTAATTTTTTTTTTCAACATTTATTTATTTTTTGGGACAGAGAGAGACAGAGCATGAACGGGGGAGGGGCAGAGAGAGAGGGAGACACAGAATCGGAAACAGGCTCCAGGCTCTGAGCCATCAGCCCAGAGCCCGACGCGGGGCTCGAACTCACGGACCGCGAGATCGTGACCTGGCTGAAGTCGGACACTTAACCGACTGGGCCACCCAGGCGCCCCTATGTTCAGTTTTTTAAGAAATTGCCAAACTGTCTTCCAAAATGGCTGTACCATTTTGTATTCCCACCAGCAGTGAATGAGAGTTCCTTTTGCTCTACCTCCTCATTAGCATTTAGTGTTGTCAGTGTTCTGAATTTTGGCTATTCTGATAGATGATGTATAGTGGTATCTCATAGTTTTAATTTTCCTAACATATGATGTGGAGCACCTTTTTATATGCTTATTTTCCATCTGCATATATTCTTCGGTGAGGTTTCTGTAGAGATCTTTTGCCCATTTTTAAATCAGGTTTGTTTTATTGCTAATTTTTAAGAGTTCTTTGTATATTTTAGATAGCATCCTTTATCAAATATGTATTTATGCAGTTGTTTACTCCCAGTCTTTGGCTTGTCTTGTTTTTCTCTTGACAGTATCTTTCAAAGATCATATTTTTAATTTTAATGAAGTCTATTTTATTAATTCCTTTTTTCATGGATCATGCCTTAGGTATTACATCTAAAAATAATTATTGCTATGCCCAAGCTCATTTAGATTTTTATCCTGTGTTATATTCTAGGAGTGTTGTACTTTTGCATTTTACATTTAGGTCTGTGATCCATTTTGAGTTCCATTTTTGTAAAGTGTACAAGTTCTGTGTCAAGATTCATTCACTTGCATGTGGATGTCCAGTTTCAGTACCATTTGTTGAAAAGACTATCTTTTTGCCCCATTGTACTACCTTTGCTCTTTGTCAAAGATTAGTTGACCATACTTATGTAGGTCTACTTCTGGGCTCTCCATTCTGTTTTATTGATCTGTTTGTCTGTCTTTCATCTATACCACACTGTCTTGATTACTGTAGCTTTATAGTGAGTCCTGAAATCAGGTAGCATCAGTCTTCCAACTTTGTTCTTTTCATTCAATATTGTGTTGACTATGCTGTGACTCAGATATTTTGGACAGTGTGAATTTATTGTGGTGCTGATCCAGTGGGTGATTTTTCTCCAGCCATGTCCAATGGTCCAGTGTTAACATAGTTGGATTGAGCCAGGGTTGGAATGTGCACGTGGGAGTGATGGAAAGGCAGTGGGGCAAGGGAGTTGAGGATATCTGTTGGAGAATGGCTGAAGGGAGGAATGCTGGAATCTAAGCTAGATGGGAAGAAGGGTGAAGTTAAGAATAGATGAAGAGGTGAAAAGCAGGCTCAAGGGATTTTGAGAGCAAAGAACAAGTGTAATGAATAAGAGCTGGATGATTATATTTGTGGTCACAAGTACGCTGTATGAATTTCATATTCTAGATGTGGAGCTATTGCAAGTATTGACAAGGGCTGGATGATGACCATGAGATTTGATAGCTGAAAGGGAAGTGGAGACACCAGCCTCTGAAGATAAGGAGGTCAAAGAGCTAAGAGGCCAGTGTGTTGGGCCTCTGCATCAGTACTAACATCATGTGGGATGTTGGCAGGACTTGGGATGGAGAAGAATCTGTGAACAGGTTCTTAAATGAGTGAAAGGGGTATGTTGGGGAGCTGAGGAGCTGACAGTGAAGAGGAGTGGAAAGAGGCATGTCTAGATGATATGAAGCTCAAAGGAGTAAGAGATCTGGGGCACCTGGGTGGCTCAGCTGGTTAAGCATCTGACTCTTGATTTCAGCTCAGGTCATGATCTCATGGTTCATGGGTTTGAGCCCCTCATCAGGCTTTGTGCTGACAGTGCGGAGCCTGTTTGGGATCCTCTCT